CCGACGTCATCATTGCAAATATGCAACCAATATCACAGTATTTATTTTATAATACGCGATTTGCATATTGCAATACCAATACTGTGATATTGGTTGCATTTTTGTGTATCAATAAGAAAATATTATAAAACTTTCCTTATCGTTTATTTCCAGTTTGATGAATTCGCAAATTCGCATTCGCGTCGGTGAATACGACTTCTCGAACATGGAGGAAATGTTACCTCACGTAGAAAGGGGCGTAGTGAGTAAAATCGTCCATCCAAAGTACAACTTTTACACGTACGAATACGACTTGGCTCTGGTTAAGCTCGATAAACCCCTAGATTTCGCCCCGCACATCATGCCCATCTGTCTACCCGGATCTGATGATCTTTTGGTTGGGGAAAACGCGACCGTAACCGGTTGGGGACGTTTAAGCGAAGGAGGTCTTTTGCCCACCGTTTTACAAGAAGTTCACGTTCCGATCGTAAGCAACGAAGACTGTAAAAGTATGTTTTTACAAGCCGGTCGTCACGAATACATCCCTGATATTTTCTTATGTGCCGGCCATGAAACGGGAGGTAAAGATTCGTGTCAAGGAGATAGCGGGGGGCCGTTACAAGTTCGCGGAAAGGATGGAAGGTATTTCTTAGCCGGAATAATATCCTGGGGGATTGGATGCGCTGAAAAAAATCTTCCGGGGGTTTGTACGAGGATATCAAAATTTGTTCCGTGGATTTTAAAAAACGTTACGTAATAAGAGAAATTAATAAAGTTGATGTACCTACAACTACCTTGCGAAGGACGAGCTGGATCGAATCCCTCCTCCCAAGATTTATTGATTCAATGCGGCGACGATGTCTGTAAATGAATTGTCTAGGAAATTAATCGAGGAAGAAAATTGAGGAAATTGTTTTGGCAGGAAGAGGTTGTTTCCCTCCTTTAATTTTCATCGTATTTTTTTTGGATAATCCCAGATCTAGTCATGAACGTTTTGTGGATTAAATAAAAATGAGTGTAGTGAAACTTTTTTTTTTGGTAGTTGAGGGTATAACCAGTGCCCAGATACCAAAGATACTTTTTAAAAAAGTGTAAAAAAGTACTCTTGCCTTAAAACTTAAAAGTCTTAAAAGCAACTATCTTAGCCTTTATTTTTTTTTTAATTCTAAGTTAATGTATATTAATTGTAATTAAATTTTAGTATTTAATAATTTTTATTGTACATTTTTTTTTAAATTTTAAATTACGCACCCAAAAATAAAAATATTTTTGTAAAATATCTTCCTCCCCCAATTTTAGTATTTTGTATATTCTCTGTAAATAAATAAATAAATAACCACAGTTTATTATTTTTTACTTGTTTATTTTACGATTAAAAAAAAATTGTATCAACTCCAGAGTTAATTTAATCACTATTATTGTCTTATTATGTTCTAAATAATATTCAGCGAAGTGAATTTGAAAGGAGTTTGTGGTAAGTTAAGAATTAATCGTGTTAATAACACAAATTTACAATCATTCATCCGTCTGGGTTTCCCCGGGTTTATTTTAGTTTCGGAGGCGTCCGAAGAATTTGTTGTTAAAATTAAAAAATACTGGTACATAAACGTGAATATTGAAATACGTTGTTCTAGAGCTCACTTGTAATTGATTAAGCTAAATATGCCTTGTAGAAAAGTGAATAATTTAGAAAATATTTCAATTTTTTGCTTTTTGTACAAGTTCAGTACATACTCTTACAAATCTTGAAATTTAGAGAGTAATAATAGTTTCTTTGGCAATGTATCGACTTCTCTGGATAGATTACATCCTAATACACATTTAAAGTCAAGAAATACTGTAAATATTTCGATGGTTTAAAAATACAGGAAGTGAAATATTCGGTTTTTAAGTTAATTTTCAAACAAAGTGTTTATCCATGAGCGTCTATTTCAAAATTTCGATGATACATTCAGCATACAAATTATTGTAAAAACTTCTCTGTTTTGTTACCTTTCGAATGAGGTATGAAGCATGGCAAAATGTCTTTCCAATTAGCCAATAATAAGATAACAATTGGTGCGAGCACAATTTTGACAACCTACCCAATGTGAATAAAATTCAAAATCGATTACACCTGCGGTTGAAATTCAATTCATTATTGGTTAACAACCATCGGTTAAACAATTTTTTTACGTTTTGGCAGTAAG